GAATAAAAGGCAGAAGATGTTTTTATTTATGTCTAAGAATTAGTCATGAGATCGTTTAAGCCTATCTTTTTTTCTTCCTTTATTTCTCCCTCTAATTATTTTCTACTGTTGTTTTAACTTTTTATGTAACCATAACAGATCAACAAGTGTCAAACTGTCTTGTCTTCACCTTTGACTTTAAATACTACTAGCTCCTTCTTCAGGGTCTGCCTCTAATTGCTTCATACTTTTTGAATTTAGCACCTGGAAAAAGAACCGACGTTTTCTCTGACTGCACTGATTCTTATTTGTAACAAATAATGGGTTCTTGGAATAAGTAGAGGACACAATGGGGAAAACTTGATGGGCTTATAAATAGACCTCAACGATACCAAAACATCGTCTCAGTGATCAAATTCAAGTCTCAGCTCTGTGTATTTGATCTCCTGCTATTCTCGTGTTTCTGTCTCTGAAGAGACGGAACAATTTCTCATGAGGAGCTTGGTCGGGTAGAGGAAACTCAGGATTCTGAAATCTCCATATACGTAGAGGATTTGTGGTGAGACAAAGACCGCTGCGAGCAGCACATTTGTCCTCTGGGAAGTGCTTTTTGTTTGTTAGCAGCCTAGCATCGACAGTTGCTCAAGATATCATTTTCAATTGTTGTTTGATGGTAGATACCAATAACAGCTTGAGCTGATTCAATTTTGCTGAAAATCGGGTCGAGGTCAAAGTCACACCAAATGGGAAAATCAGTAAAAACTTTATATTACCCACAACTTTTTATGGGTCGTCGTCAAACTTCGCAGCGATAAATTAGACCTTAAGCTGGCCAAGCATTTGACCTTTACCTTCATTGTTAGCAAAAAAAAAAGTTATATATTTTATATGAAAGGGCATGGGAAAAGCTGTAGAAAACACTCTTTAGATTTTCAACACTCTACGACGTCACAATGACGCCATAACAGGCTGACGTCAGCGTAAAAACGCCATAAAAGTGAAGTCTTTGCACTTTGAGGGGAGTTGCGCTCGTTTTGTGGAGAAGTGGGGGTTCATTATTGATACAAATTTTAAACTCTGTTCTGTGAGACGATGTATTTTTGAGTGTACAATCCAACAAATTTCTTCTTATAAGTGTAAATGAAGAAAATCCTGTTATCCAACCACTGACAGAAAAATAAATATTTACGATACAGATCGTGTCCTTAATTAAATAACACAGATATCGTCCACTTTCCACATTTGGCGCCCACCTTAAAAATTATCACTATTTATAATACTGTCGAAATCTTGAGTCATCCCTCGTTTGTATGTAACAAGCTTGAAAGTCAGTATTTGAAGCTTGTGACCACTTTTATTCTTCAACACAGCCTCTTTTGCGCAGCTTTCTTGTCATTTCTTACGCAGTCTTCAGGAATGCTTCTCCAGGCTTCCCGACGAACATTTAAAGCTCTTCTTTAGATGTTGACTCCCTTTTGTTTTGTTCTCTGTTGAGATGATCCCACTCTGCTTCAGTAGTGTTGAGGTCCGGACTCTGGGGAGGCCAATCCATAACTCATAGTGTTGCACTGTGCGTTTGTCTCTTTCCTGGTGTGCTTTTACTGCATTGATTGTTTGCATCATTGTGATGCTGAAAAATGTTTTACAGCTATAGACGCTCAGTGCTTTATCATTAAACCAAAACTGTCCAATTTGGATTCATCACTCCATAAAAGCGATTTCCATTCCACTTCTTGTGTAATTTTTTTGTACCTCAAACCTGTTTACCTTCTTTAAAAACTGCTTCTTGAGAGATAATATCAGCACACATGTATCATTGTAACTGATATGTGTGTACAGATGCACACCTATTCTTTGAACCTAGTTGTGTGTTGCTAGGCTGCACTGAGACTGAGCCGAAGCTGTATTTAGCACACTATCCTCACATGTGCTCTACTGCACATGTGCAGTGTCAAGATTTTACTCAGGAAAAAAGGTTCAAGTTTACAGGTTTACTGAAGTAGAGCTAACTATGACTCCTCCACACACTACTGCCAGGAAAAGGTGAATTGTCACAGTTTGACTTTGATATTTACATTTTTTTCTGTTTCGTGAAATACTTATCACGCTTGGTGTCAATCATTTCCAACCTTTTTCTTATTTTATCAGGTCTTCCTGAAACACAATCAGTGATGAATAAGATATTCCACATCGTCAAGGACAAACTTTGATTGATTGCATCAGGAAATGAATCGAATATATGAACGATCCCTTTGAGACTGTCATTTTCAAAATGCCCAAACACCCTGATGAGAAAGACTAATTTGTACTTTCATCAATTGGCAGAGTAAAAAAATCAATGTAGTGAAAGGAGGACAAATCTGAAAAAGTAAAATAAAACTCAATTATAAACCATGAAGTGACCGAGCAGATGTTGTGAACGCTGCTCTGAAGACAACAGTACATACAGTGCGTCCTTTCAGCAGGCTCAGATTGGCTGTGCAGTCAACATTTGTGTAATCTTCCCAGTGCGACTTTTATGAGCTGTGAGCTGGCCCAGTGTTTCTTACTGTAATTAGAATCCAGTAACGACACAGGTGGCATGGAGAGCAATCATCGCCATGCGTTTTTTTTCTGCTTTCTTACAGTTGAGTCTGCTGTCTTCTAAAATACTGCTCTAAATTAGCATTGACCTTTTCCATAATGTTACCACATTGTTTCCAAAAAGTCAGGACCCTGTGTGCGTAAAACATAAAGATGCAATGCATTAATTGTTTAAATTCTCTATTTTTATGTACCAGCCCGGGTACTCATTATTAAAATGTGTAATGTTAGAAAACTGAATGTTGCACAACTGCTGCAGTTAATTGATAACATGACCGTGTGCGAAGGTGACACCCCAGAAAGTCTCAATGAATTCACTTTGTATAGAAATGATTAGAATTTGTATTGCGTTAAATATACCTCACAGTGGAACATAGGCTGCCATCCACATGGTGTCTCTAACAGTGAAGGCCATTAGTATTTCAGCAAGACAATACCACAACATTCTGCACTTATTACAGCAGCATGGCTCTGTAGAAAAGCCCAGACCGGTCACCCACTGGAAATATTACATGCACGAAACGTGAAATACGACAAAAACGGCCCTCAAACTCGGTGCTACATTTACTTAAAGTAGGAATCTTACATCACAGATACTCTTTGAGCAAAACAATAACAATGCTCACCTGTAAACGTGCGTTTCTTAGAGTCAGGGCCTTTATATCAATTCACTGATTCAGTTTGAACCTTAAATATCTCTCAAGGCCGACTTCAAACAAAACATCTAGTGATTAATGCTTGAGTACTTTCCACTGTTACTCAGATGTTGAATTCATTTACTTCATGGTGAATTGCACTTTCATGTTCATAGGGGTCTCTAGTGTTGCATTATAGCGCCTCCTGGTGGCTGACTCTGGTTGATCCGACTGAGACAAACTGTTAGTACCACTTGATGTCAATAAGGAGAAATAGTCACAGTATTAATCAGATTAAGTTCTAAATGACTTGATTTCTGTTCCGTTGTGTTCCTTCAACTTAACGAGGTGTTTAATAAAGGTGTTTATTGTTTTCATCATACATTTCTGTGGAACCACGAAACAGAGGAAGTAATGTAGAGGGGGGAAAAAATGGCCAGTGAACAACATTGGTGGCAGCTGGTCTGGATGAAGCTGCTGACTGACTGAGATTTTCCCACACAAACATCTCGAGGGTTTACAGAAACTATCCAGCGAGCAGCAGAGAAGATGTCTTGCTGATTTCAGAGGTCAGAGAATGGCCAGACTGCTTCGAGCTGATAGGAAAGACCATACCGGGTCACACGCCTGTCAGAACACTGGGAAACGTTGCCTGGTGGTAGGGTCTGCATGTGGCATGAACAACATGACAGCATGGATCCATCCGGGCTTGTAGCAAAAGTTCAGGCTGCTGCTGGTAGTGTAACAAATGTGTGGGATATTTTCTTGGCACACTTTAGTCCCCGTAGTTTTAACTCTGCCAACCTGAATACTCGTGTCCATTCCTTTATGACGACAGTGTAGTCGTCTTCTGACAGCTGCTTCCAGCAGGAGAACGCAGCATGTTAAAAAGCTCAAATCATCTCGAGGGGGCAAAAGAAGCTTCAAAAAGGAAGTAGGGAGGTGTACCTCATAAAGTGACCGTCAAGTGCACATATAACGCTATCGTCCATCTTCACATGAAACTCAAACGAGTGCTCTACAGACTTGATTTTGAATATTTTATTCCACAGTTGAATGAAGATGGGAGCAGCATACTTACAGCATCAATGCACAACGTTTACTCGTGTTCACACCTACACACAGGTCACACTGCATTCAAACTAAACACGACAAATTACACATTCAGATTTGACTGACTTTGATCGCGTGAGTCACAAACCAACGTGATCGGATTTTCGTTAGGATGAATTTTATGATTGAAATCTCGTGCATATAAAGAAAACGACAACAAATAAGCAGCGGAATTAACCACATCCACAAATCGAGCACGAGGGCACGTACAGACGAGCAGAAACAAAAACGTCTAAATTAACAGTGAACATCTCGACACACATCTTGGTCACCTCCAGTGGACTCGTATGGCTTGGTCATAGTGAATATCGAGGTAAAAATGTATGTACATCTTCAAATAATCCCATTATTATAAAGTTCTGTCGGCGTCCATCACTGGCACAAAATGCTTTAAAAAAACCGTCCCACATCAAAAGAAATCTAACCTTTACATTACGATTATATCATTTTTGGTCTCTTTAATTATACTTGCAAAAGAATAATTTTGTTGTACTACATTTTACAAGTGCTGTAGAAAAAACTGCCGTACAAAAACAAGGAAGCCTCATAAGTAGACTTGACACAACAAAATAAACATTTTGTTAAATTTACAAATTAAATCTTCTGATTTCCTGAATCAGTTACATTTCTTATGTCAGAATTATGAATCTTAAAAGAAGCTAATTTATTTGAGAGCCCATTTTTTTTTTATTCCATATTGAAATGTTATTTTTTAACCTCGACAAGGATCAATGCTTGAAGGGGGGAAAAAAGCTGTTTGGGGTAAAAACAACATGCGAGTACAGTATATTAAACATTCTTCATTATGATTTAAATCTACACCAGCGCCCCTTACAATACTGAGATCTCCCACTGTTATTATTACCAACATTTTTTGTTAATATCAATTTCATTCAGTCATGAAATGATTCACAGTTGACTGGCAGGATTTACCTATGAGTGTTTTGAGTGTCATTGAAAAGTACTTTTTTTTTCGCCAGTCAAATACAAACTGGAGATACCGATTCTGTCTGTAGGGAGAATAAAACCCTACAAATTCAGAACAAAGCCGTGTGGTTAGTGTATAAAAATGATATGACCGTGTCGGTCTGATACTGAGATGTAACAGAGGCTTTGCTTTGATTTTTAAGATGTTCTGGTCCCCTGTAACACAGGAGAAAATCCTGAAATGATTACTTTAGTCTTTTCCTCACCACATAAACCTTTGCGTTGCTGTGCTGTCCGGCCAGTGGAAGGTCTTGGCGATGAAGATGTAGATGGTGGCAACGTTCACGGCCGTGTACAGGAGGAACTCCCCGATGAGTCTGGGAAGGGAGGGCAGGGGCATGTGCAGGCGATACATCAGGTATGGAACGATGAAGTATCTGAACTCCAGGAGCTTCTGCGGGACTGTGGTGGCCACGAGGCAAGCCAGGAAAGCCAAACTCCAAAAGAGAGAGCGCGATTTAAAGGAGTCCAGAAAATTCCACCCGGCGAAGATGTACGGAGGGATGAGGAGGAAACGCACCAGTTCGTGCCTCTGGAAAAGTTTCTTCCACACATAAAAGGGGAAATGGCGGTTATCAGCCAGGAGGTACTTGTGGACAAAGGTGAATTTCCACACCAGGAGCAAAGAGATGCCGGTGACCAGGAGGAAAAACAAAGGCTGCTTTTTGAGAGCCTGCAGGAAGCGGAGGACGCGGTGGTAACACAGCGAGACGGGGAGAGAGAAGAAGAGGGAGAAGGAGAAGAAGTAGAAGAGCTGGGGGAAGTTGAGGCAGGCCTCGTGGCTCGTCCTGTCGCCAACCACGATCCCATCATTCAGTGCCACAAACACCAGGAAGCCAACGCCGACCAGCGCGTAAGGCCAGGCCACCAGCAGCACCGCCTTCACGTGATTGGGTGAGGTGAGGAACTCCAGAGTGAAAAGCAGGATTCTCTTAGCTCCGCTGAATGACAGCGGGATCTGAGACGGTGCAGACTTCTCGTCCCTCTTTTTTGTATGCTCCACCCTCCAGGCGTCATCCATTTTCCCTGCCACCAGAGTGGCTGCACAGAACGCCACCCAGATGATGTTCGTCTGACGGAAGAGCACGGAGCAGACGCCCAGCAGCGCAGAGGCCTTGTGGCAGCCGTACAGGGTCATGAGGTAGGTGAAGAGGATGAAGAAAGTAGATCCAGCGTCGGTGTAGTAGAGGAAGTTAAAAAAGTAGAGCACAGGGAAGGTGGACAGAGACAGCGCTGACAGGACTCGGCGTGAGGTTGTCCGCATCTAGAAGAGAAGTTAATTTTTTTTTCTGATGTCACATTAAGTCACTTGTGGTCTTGTCTTCGTGTCCTGGACTTACCTTCTCCCTGAGGTGCAGCTTGCAGAGGAGCAGATAGATCAGGTAAAGGTTGCCACAGTTGAAGAGCAGGTTGATGAAGCGCAGCATGGCCGTGGAGCACACCACCTCGCCTGTCAGTTCGGTGAGCCACACCACAGGCTTGATGACTCCCACTGAGACGAGGTAAAGGCCTGGGAGAGTGGTGATCATCGGGTCCCACTGCATGAATTAAAAACATGTTAACACGGCACAAGGTGTAAAGTTCACTTAACATGTGGAGTGAGCGGATAATGGCTCTTGAGTGGGGAGTTGGGGGGCTTCCGCTGTGAAGGGCCACACCAATAAGCTGAGCTGAGCTTCACGGTGCTCAATATTAATTGTATCCCTTTATAATCTTATTGTTGTGGCCCTCCACAGGGATATTTCATAGCACTGTCAGTTCTCTTGGCTAGTCTGTGATACAAGTATTTAAGAAAAAAAAACCTGTGTTTGCATCAGCACTCACTTCATTATTACAGCCAGGCATCGAACAACCAACTTTTGGATTAGTAGACGACCTGCTCTGGCTCCTGAGCCACAAGACAAAAGCCTTTTTTTAGAATCTTCATCTATATGCTATCTTAAAATTACAGCCCAAATGATATAGCAGTCTGTTGATACATATGAATGTCGTCCAATGGAGTATGTGACGACACAAATTTACAAATAAAGTCATTTAAATTTCATCCACCATGGGTCTAATGTTTTCTCCTGTTCCAGTGGCACCTCAGCCATCATTTAGAAGGCCCAGCAGGGCCTGCATTTCCCGAGGACACTCAGGAAGAATCATCTCAGTTAAATGCTCCTCCTGCTGTGCTTCTACAGAGCCACCGCTGAGAGCATAGTTCATTACACTGTGGTACATGGGGTTCGTAGCAGCAGATAAAAAGGCCCTCCAGAGAATCACCAACACTGTTGTTCTCTTCCTTCCCTCACAGACATTGCGAACAGCCCCAAATCATCATCAAAGACTGCTCTCATCCAAGTCACCATCTGTTTGAACTGCTGGTAGGCGTTACCAATCCTTAAAATCCAAAACTCCCAGATTCACTACGGGCACTAACGTCCCCCTCACCAAACAAAGACAGCTCATAACAGTTTATAAAACACACTTAAACGTGTCATTTTATCTTGAACTTGATAAAACGTCATGCATTAATATGCGTACGATGTGTTATAGGAGAACTACTTTTATGCTTGTATCCAATTATTTATCTATTTAGCCCTAGACAAGGAAAGAGGCTCCAGTAGATTGCAGGCATAACATGAGTCTGGTTGTAGGAAAAGACAACCCCCTGTCAGACAGTCCTAGAGACTGATTGCCAACTCTCTTGCAACCACTGACTGCTAGGAGGAAAGTGTATTCCCTGATGACAACCACTTAGCCAATGAAAATGTGAATTTCATTCCTTTAGTGGTTGCTGGAAGGCACAAGGTTCTTTGGGCTGCCAAGGCGGTCGTTTACTGGTCTCTTGTCCTACGTGCCTGGAGCCTCGCAGGCATCTGCTTGGACCCAGGCATCATGTTACTCTGCTGCATGTGAACCAGGCAGGGCTGTGATGAATAATAACCACCCCAATCTTTTCTCTGCAAGGCTTTAACACTTTTTAGAAAACTCTCACTCTCTCATGGATCCCTGACTAAAACACCATCGTTTAGCCTAGTTTCCTCTAACACACACTGCTTTCACTGTCAGTCAGATGCCATGCATCATGTCACATGAGGATGAACATGCAACATGTCTTTACAGATAGCCATTAGTAATGTAAGGTTTACAGAGCTTCATACAGATCTGAGCAGTTAAGCTTCACTTCACCACAAAGTCCCTTGCTCTTTTTAAAGCTGGCCCACGTGACATCAATAAATATAACCCATCCAGACAGGCATACCATACTGATACAGCCCTATATGCCCAGTGTGGAGATTAACCCTAACCGCTGCTCTTAGCTAACCTTAATCCGCCTGATAATGGCGGGCTCACCCTCATCACTCACACTTTACCTCGTTGAATTTTCCCTGGCAGTATTTCTGAGCTTGGGGGACGTGGAAGATCTCGTCCATGTAGGGCTCCCTTTGCTCGCGGGTCACTCTGGAGAACAGCAGGCAGGATATTAAGAAGTTGGTGCTGCACAGAGCAGTGAACATGTAGCCTTCAAATTTCTCCATGTTTGACGACGAAACACGGTGTAAAACTGAGAAAAGTTCAGACCAGAGCTAGCTGTTAGACTTTAGAGTATCTCGCATAACTACTAGACTCCAGAATTTAAACCGCGGGAAAACGTTAATTTAGAGGAAACTGTCTGAAACATGTCCACCGTTGCTAAACGGAAGAATTTTTGTGATTTTTGACAGCTGGCGGTCCGATTCAGAAATAGGCTCGGTACAGAAACTCGTGTAAAACCATAGGTTCCGGTACTATGCTAAATACTTTAGCGTGGGATTATCTGTCGAGTAATATCTGCCTTACATATATGTATGATTTATTTTGGATGATTATGTTATTGACTGCCGTTTTACTACCTTGTGATATCCTTTTTTTTCCTCCTAGGAGGAGATTTCCTCTGACGCGGTGTCACCGTGTTATGGTTCCCCCCCGCCGTGTAGAGACTTCACGTGAAGCACCGTGGTCCGTGTGCCGTTTATAGAATTTTATCCAACCTTTTGTGTGTGTGTGTGTGTTTTGAGAATGCATCTAACACAAAAGCTGGAGCTTTTCCCCGACCACAGAGTGACCCAGATGCTCTTCAAAGAAGTCAAAAATGCTGCAGAGCTGAAAAAAAGCGCCATGGAAGGGAAAATAAACGGTGCCTTGATCAACCCTACGATGGTGAGCCTTTTCCGTCTGTTTTAGCAATGCTTTTTTTCAAAATACGCCTGTGTTTTATTGTATAAAACACATACTAATAAAACAGTTAAGTACTCGTGTCTTTCACTGAAAAAGAAAAATTGAGAATTACCTGGAGTCTTGCTGTTTGCTTACGTTGACCCTGTGCTTCCATTTCCAGCTGGTGGATCCTTTTCAAGTGCTGGTAGCTGCCAATAAAGCCGTTCACTTAGAGAAAATAGAAAAAATGAAGACAAGAACTCTTTACTCGGAGATCATCTTCAATCTGTCCCCTACAAATAATGTAAGTGAGAAGAAGCAGATGTTTCTGTGATCCATGTTCCGATTTTTGAAAAAATGTTACTCTTAACGTAGTTTTAGATATGTAAGCTATCTGTATGCTTCCACTAATATAGATCTCAGAGGCCTTTAAAAGATTTGGGATCTCAGATGGTGATGACTCCGTTCTGATCGTTATGGTTGACAGCAAAGATGAGTCCCAGGTCGTGTCAGACATTGCAGCCAGGGTGGAGGGCCGGCAGGTTCCAGTGGAAGAGATTTCTTCACTGTCAGACCACGCAAAGATCAAAAAGGTCGCTGCTTTTAATTAATCTGCGTTCCACACTTGTATCTTGTTATGTTACAGGGGTGACAGGCTGCACAGTTATTTCTCCTAATGTTGCTTTATTCCCAAAACATTCTCAGATGTGGATTATATCCAGTCCCAGACTAAATGAAAAATTCAGGGAAGATCTGACAAAAGAAAAAAAAAACTGGGCCTAAAATCATGTTATAACCCACAGAGTACATAATCAATTGCAGTTTCCTCACTACCGCTTTAACACTTTGCTTGATGAATTTAAAGAATATTTTAATTTATTTTTTTCCCTCCATTACAGCTGTACAAAGTCACTCCCCAGGAGGAGAAATGTGGGAGTCTGCTTGATGCGGTCGTATGCAGAATGGCCACCAAGGATGTTATGTAGGTTCGGCGGGATATACTAGGTGCGATTAGAAACTTCTGTGACTTTTATGACTTCACCCTTAAAGAAATGAAAGACTACGCTTTGAGCTCCACTTCAACACACTGTCCTTGTGCAGGACTGGACTACTTCCAGCACCGCTGCTATTTTTAGATCACTCCTTGAACGTCTCATTCTGTCCACTGGAGCAATTCAAACGTTAACTTCTGTGTCAGGCTGAAACAGCTTTGACTCGGAGGGTCATCAAAGGTTATGAGAGCGGCTTGTCCACCTACAGCCCACCGACCAAACAGCACACAATCCAAAAGCAACGCATCAGGATCTAGACGATTTTTTTTTCCCAGCATTCATGCGTTGTGCACCAAGGTCAGACTTATTCAAGGATCTAATATCCTGAGGCATTCAAGGGACACCAAAGGTTGGGATTTTTTGTAGCTCACCACTGGTTACATACAGCCAGATACGATTCTGTTCTCTAAAATGAAGCCAAATGTAACAGATTCATGCAGTGTTGCACCAGAGACCACCTTCGAGGGGGGACTGTTTTTGTTTTTGCAGAGTTGCAGAACTTTATGATCACACCTTGTAAGACCAGGATATACCTAATAATATCTGAGAAAATGTGTTTTTTTTCTCTTCACAGCAGTTTAACAATAGATCCGTTGTCAATAGATCTATGTCTGTTTTTAATACTAGCCCAGCACACTCTTAAGTTTAAACCAACAGAAATTGTCAGTCTTGATCTGTGTACACTGGGCTCAGTCAAAATAAATCTTATTTTTCTTAAACCTTTGAGTGAACTCATCTTTGTTTATTCTTTTTTATCTCTTCTTTGCCACGGCCATGACGTAGGGAGAAATCTTTGCGTTTCTTATTATTTAGCATCATCCTATTTCTTGTTTTATTTTACCTTTGAACTTTTTTCATTCACTGTGTTTTTTGGTTCTATACACTGAAGGTTAGTTTTCTGACGATTTTTCAGCGATGTAAAGCTGCTCTCTTGCCAGCAGAGCTGAATTATGAATCCAAATTGCTTTGAGGTGGATGTGAGCCAGACCTCTGAATAATTTAAAAAAAAAAAAAAAGGCTCAAATGCCCCGAAGCACTATCATGAAGGCACTTCAGTCGAGCCAAATTTCAGCCAATGGCTGTCAGCCTGGGGAGGCATGAATAATAAATCTGCTGTTTGTTTTAAAAAGTTTGGAGTTAGGTTTGACAAAATTGCACTTTTTACATCTGTTGATGATAATAATAGAAATATTTAATAAAGAATGTTGAATGTGGAGCTGCCGGGCACGAGGATAAGAGGAAGACCTCAGAGAAGATTCATGGACGTAGTGAAGGAGGACCAGGAACTATTATAACCATTCAGATGCTTATAGATTACAGAGCATTGCATTATAATCATTCTACTGCAGCAAATCATGTTAATGTTTATAGTTTACAATGTAATTACTATTCATTAACAAAGTGTTAATAAGAATCACAGTATTTGAAATGTAACAGTATGTAATGCAATAAGCTACACTGCCCATCCAGAAATAGTCACACTCTGAATATTTTGTTGGACCACCCTTACTTCTGAGCATGGTACACATCCTCCGGGGGCAACATTTTGATGAGCTTATGCAGTGTCACAGCATTTATTTCCAGAGCTTCATTCATTTTTTTGTCAAGGTTGAAGATGATGCTCCTGGCACGATTCCTGGAGTTGCCATCCTTGAATCTGTCCCTGCCATCAGAGAAGCAGTTATGGCTTTGTGCTGAGAAAGAGTTTTTAGAGTGTTGCTGCAGAAATATAGAGGAGGTCAGGAGTTATGGATTTAGAAAAAAAAGCATATGATAGGTTGTTAAAAGAGGAACTGTGGTACTGCATGAGGAAGTAAGGAGTGGCAGTGAGCGCGCTGCAGGACATGTGTGAGGTATTCAGTAGGAGTGACAGATAGGTTCAAGGCGGGGGGGATTACTGAGCCCCTTCTTGTTTGCAGGATTCTCTGTGGACTATGATGTTTGCAGTATGGAGAGGTGGAGGTGAACTATATTGCCAGAAGTATTTGCTCATTTGCTTTCAAACACATGTGAACTTGAGTGGAAAAGAGGCTCCAAACCTTGTGGAAAGGTTTAGGAGGGATTTATGGGAATTTTTGACCATTCTTCCAGAAGCACAGTTGTGAGGTCAGACAGTGATGTTGGACGAAAGGACCTGGCTCGCAGTCTCTGCTCTAATTCATCCCAAAGGTGTTCTATCAGGTTGAGGTTCTTCCACACCAAACTCTCTCATGTGTTTATGGGCCTTGCTTTGTGCACTGGTCCTGGTGGAACAGAAAGGGGGCATCCGCAAACAGTTCCCACAATGTTGAGCCACGATCGCCCATGGCTGGGATGCAGCTGCTCAGCCATGGAAACCTATTCCATGAAGTTTGGAGGTCTGCAGGAAGGTGGTGGTCTTTGCACACCATGCGCATCAACATATGCTGTCCTCGCTCTGTGATGTTATGTGGTATACCACTTCATGGCTGAGTTGCTGTCATTCCCAATCAGCAATCAGAGTCAAGCACTTACCTACACATTCTGATCGGCACACTCTCTCACACTGTCAGACTTTTAAGAATATAAAAAACATACCAGAAAGACGCAGAATTACGACAGCAGTAAAAACATGGGCATTAACAATGTTTATTCTAAATTGTTATCTGAGACAGTTACTGGCACGGATTTGTAAGAAGTCACAGATTTGAATTTTGTCAGTCCTGAAAGTTCACAAGCTCGGCTTTTCCGATATTCCCTCCGGTGAGGATGCACACAACATCCTTGCCCTCCAGCTCTGGGATCTTGTTGTTAACAATGGCAGCAAAAGCAGCAGTACCTGATGGCTCCACTACCAGCCCGGATCTGTAGAGCGTGGACACGGCAGCCTCGATCTCCTCATCGCTAACGAGGACGATCCCCTCCACGTAACGTTGGCACAGCTGATAGGGCAGCCTGCCTGGTGATGGCGCAAGAAAACTCTTCTATTTTCTCATGTATCGCAAACAGAAAGTCAAGGAATTTTAAAAGAACAGTTCACATACAAGCCAGATATGCTGGAGAGAAATTTGACAAAAACTACCTGCGAAAGGTGGTGCAAGACCTGATGCGATGCTCTTGCTGTCCATTTCTACTGGCTTCTTCTCAATTAAGCTTTTGTACATTGTGCAAGCTGCGTTAAGCAGAAACACACTTAAAGTTTCTGCACACAAAAACAAGCTAAACATCAGTTTGTCTGTGACTTTTTACCTCCTTCTGGCTCCACGCCGTAGATCTTGGTTTTACTGCAACCTGACAGTTTGATGGCAGCAGCTACTCCAGCCAGCAGCCCACCTCCACCGCAGCACACCACCACCACATCAGGCTCCGGCATCACTTCCAGCAACTCCATACCAAGACTAAATGCATGTGCACACGTAATTAATAAAAGACAGAGATATTAGAAATGTAATTGTTACCAATAAAACACGAAGATAGAAGCACTCTTATGCACTAGCATCCAGCCCTGATTGTACCTGGCATGCCCTGCAATTAGATCCAGGTCATCGAAGGAGTGCAGGAAGGTCATGTTGTCCTCCTGAACACAACGGTTCACCACGTTTATCAGACAGGATGTAGGAGCTCGCTCCACCTCAACCCCTAAACTCTGAGGACAAGAATAACCACTCCATGAAAATGACAAAGTAATAAATTCACACTTATTAGGAAGTAATTTATATGTCTGTATTTAACTTTCAAGGCTTTTGTCTTTTGCTTAACTGTGCCACAAACAACCTCTGACCTGTATAAAGATGGACTTGTTCTCTGGGGCGGTTTCAGGCATCACCACTTTGCCCTTTGACCCAAAGTGTTTTGAGGCATATGCAAACGACTTGCCGTAGTTTCCAGCAGACATGGTGACAAAACGGCCACCCGCCGGTCTCCTGGCAAACTGATTGGCTACTCCTCTGATCTTAAAAGACCCTGTCATTCAAAAACAGGAAGTCAATAAACCTGCAGCAAAGTGTCAGGGAAGCCAAACAAAGTGGGTTTCACCAACCAGTTCTCTGCATGTTTTCCAGTTTGATGTGGATGTTGCAGTCAATGCTGAGAGGCAGGGTGGTCTGCCTCCAGGCGATCATGGGGGTGTTGATGACACCCATTGGGCTGCTCCTCACCGTCTCTCTCGCTTCTTTTAGCATGTCCAGGGTGACAGGGTCTGCAGACACCTCACACATCTGGGTGGGTCAGAAACAGAGAAACATCATCACACCCAGTAGTTTAGTTTTACATAAAAGACACTCATTAATTAATTAATTAATATATTTTTGCAGTTACTGTAGGATTAATTTAAAATATGTAGCTCTCAACCATGAGTTCACTGTTTTAATAATCGGAAAATGTAAAGAATTGAGTTGATTTAATTTGTAAGCAGTTCGCGAGCCTCTGATTTATTAGGAAGAAACGTGAAAGTTAAATTATATATAAAACAACTATGTTTCGCCTTTAAACGAAACCAAAAATGTATATTTATTCTATTCGGTATTTTTTACACATACCTTATTATTTGTTTTCACTCAGCTCCTTGAAGTTTAGTGTTACAACTTTTTCGTCTCCCTCCTCTGCAGCTCGATGGTTCCGGCATAAAATGCGTTTCAAGTCGAACGTTATTGCTGAGTGGACCGCAAACATGGCGGCTTCTGTGGAGCAGCTGGGTGAAATATTCTAGCTTCGTGAGCGAGAAAGTGTTCAAAGACAGACTGCAGTAATATGAAAACATGGCTTTGATAAAGCACGTGGTGTGCGCCATGTCCGGCGGCGTTGACAGCTCCGTCGCAGCGTTACTGCTGAAGAGACGAGGTGAGAAAAGCTGGCAGTGGAAACACTGAAGCACACCTGTACTGGCTTTGTGATGGGGAAAGGTTAGCCAGACGGGTGAAGCCGCTGTATACGAATCAAAGAAATCAATCAAATAAAGTCAGAAAAACCAAAGTAAAGCTGTAAGTGAGTCTCATTGTGATTGCGTGTTGTTTGAAGGCTACAACGTGACTGGAGTTTTTATGAGGAACTGGGATTCTCTGGATGAGAAGGGGGTCTGCACCACAGAGAAGGACTGTGAGGACGCATACAGAGTGTGCCAGAGCCTGGATGTCCCCTTTCATCAAGTCTCCTATGTCAAAGAGTACTGGCATGAAGTTTTCAGGTATTTCTGTCTTCTTCTGTCTGCTGCCTTTAGGGCTCACAGCAGCTTATCATCTGCCTCCATCCCCTTTCCACCTCCTCTGTATATCGTCCTGTCGGCGCTGTGTTCAACATACTTTGTCCATTACAGATGCCGCCATCTCCAATGAAATTTGAGAAATGCCGTTTTTGTGAAAATGCTCCAAAGGGATTTTCAGCATATCGTTTCTAAACATACTAGTTTAAAGAGCTGCTAAAAAGACAGTTGCAGGTCATTTGGACCACAATACACAAAGGTATTTCTGTGTGCAGTAAGTCATATTTGGATGCTTCTGTTGTGTGGGCTTCCTGCCCTTCTGTGTACATACATGGAAAGCTGTAGGTGGCAGTAAGCACAGAAGAGAGGGCTACATCTATTCCCTGTTTTGTTCCACCTGTCCCAATTGTCATAAGGCAAGAGGAAGGTTACACCCTGGGCAGGTCATCCAGGCAGACAGACAACCATTCACACCTACGACCAATTAAGAATCACCAGTTAACCTAAAGTGTGCCTGTGAAATGTGGGAGGAAGTCGGAGTACCCAAAGAGATCCCATGCAGGCACGAGGAGAACATGCAGACGCAACATAGATCCTATGTGGGTTCACTCCAGATTCCCTGGCTTCCTCCACAGCTGGTCAGTGGATTTGAACCCATTACCTTCCTGCTGTGAGTCAACAGCACTAACTATCAAACCAACATGCTATCTACAATGTTCATATGCAGCATTAAAAAGTAGGAGCTCAGTTGGAGGCTGGTTGCAAAGTGGCTTGCAGATGTGCAACAACTGTGTGCATGCTGGAAGAGCTTAAAAAGTGCAATATGAGGCGAGCTTCCAGGATTCCTGATAAGGAAAAATGTTCTGATTTACATTTAAAATTGATATTGACTTCAATGAGATTTAGAACAAAAACTAGGATCAGAATGTGGAATCTCTCAAATTTTATACCTGTTTTTTTATCCAGTGTTGAGCACTGAATGCAGTTTCTCTCTGTCTGGTTTGCAGTAATCTGTTGAAGGAATATGAGAGGGGAAGAACACCAAACCCAGACATACTATGCAACAAGCACATCAAATTTAACCACTTCCACAAATATGCCATCGACACCCTGGGTACGCTGTTTTATTTTCATTCTCATGCTTATTGGTTGAAATATAAAATATGATCACTTGAGTCTCAGACACACTCCAAGAGACACATTGTTTCCTGTAGGTGCTGATGCCATGGCAACAGGCCACTATGCCAGGACATCACAGGAAGATGACGAAGTTTTCGAACAGGCTCACACAGCTCCGCCCACCACGCTGTTCAGAGATCGATTTGAGATCCGAAATCGTAAGTGTGACTTTCCCTTTATACCTCTTATATCTCTGATTTTTACACTAATTTCCACTATTTTCGTTTCTGCGACTGAAGTTTGTCTTTTTTTCTTGCGTTCCCGTCACCAGCTGTGAAGCTGTACAAAGGGGCGGATCTCCTCAAGGACCAGACTTTCTTTCTCAGTCAGATCCCACAACAAGCCTTACGACAAACCATGTTCCCGCTCGCTGGACTCACCAAAGAATTTGTGAAAAAGATGGCTGCTGAGGCCGGGTTTCACCACGTGCTGAAGAAGAAAGAGGTGCTCATATATATTACAGACTTTAATAAGGAGAGAGGAGAGGAACACAGGATTTAAATTGACTGGTGTGTCGTTTCAGAGCATGGGTATCTGCTTTATTGGAGAGAGAAACTTTGAAAACTTCATCTTGGAGGTAAGTATTTATTTCACATGGCAAAAGTATCTCATTTTCATAGGATTTATGACAAAACCTTCCATCTCCTTTTAAGATGACCTCAGATCATTTTGATCTTCAGCTGCTTTGTTTCTATTTTCAGTATCTGGACCCCAAACCTGGGAACTTTGTCTCCATTGAGGATGGAACTGTAATGGGAACCCACAAAGGTGTGTTTGTGAACATCTTTAAAAAAAAATAAAAGTGTGCCACTACTGTACACCTGACTAAAATGTATTATAGTCAGGCAGCATTCTCTGGAGCTAAAAACAAAGCTGAAACATGCAGTTCCTCAAATGGCCACATGAGGCTGACTTCAAAGTCAAATTATTTCCCATGCAGTCACATGTTAAAGGTTACAGAGGTTGTTTTGGTCCATATGCGCATGTATAAAACTATCAGGCACCTGTTTGTCCCTTCTTTTCTCATATTCTTATGTGTTTCTGTCCATACAGGTTGGTTCACACTGACACTGGGCCAAAGGGCAAGGATAGGCGGGCAGAGAGACGCCTGGTTCGTGGTGGACAAAGACATCGTTACTGGAGATGTGTTTGTGGTGAGAACATCTGTGTTTAAGTTATCAAATGTCAACGCATCCATCTTAACATTCTCCTGATGTTCCCTTACAATTAGGAGCGATTTTTTTTTTTCTCCAGTTTTAATGTTCATGAATGTGTCGAGTTGTAGATTCAAAAACCAAGTTTGTAAAATGAAACGGAGGATGGTAATACCTGTAACTCCCTGTAGGAGGCAGCGTATTCATCTTTGGTGTTTCTTGAGCAACGTGTTGCAATTCGTGACCATTTTTAATCGGGTACTTGATTTGTTACACCTCTTGTGGCTCAGGCTCCGACAACCAATCACCCAGCTCTTTTCCGCGACACCGTGCGAACGGAGCGTTTCCACTGGGTAACAGAAGACCCGCCCCCCGAACTAGCCAGGACCCAAATGATGGATTGTCACTTCCGCTTCATCCACCAGATGCCGCTCGGTGAGTTCTGTGTTATCAGTGTCTGCGAGAAGATTATTAATGCCGACTGAAAATCGGCTCAAACATTAAACACAGCTTCAACTGTGCGTTCCAGTTGCCTGCACAGTAACTCTGAACATGGACGGCTCTGTGTGGATTTTGCTCTCCCAGCCAGTCAGAGCTCTGACACCTGGACAGGTAGCGGCTAACGTGTTCAGGACTGTTCTTTAACATCACACTACATGTGTGGCTTCTTTGTGTTATCGGAGTGTTCTTGTTTTCCTTCCACAGTTTGCCGTGCTCTACAAAGGGGACGAGTGTTTGGGCAGTGGGAAGATCACCCAGCTTGGGCCAAGCGAATTCACGCTGCAGAAGGGCCGCGAGCGGATGGTAGCAGCCTTTCAGCGCAAAGAGCAGTCGACCCCTGAACCAGACAGCTGAGAGGAGCTCACAGTCCGGCTGTGGGGGAAATGCACTGTGTGCAGCACATGAGCTGCGAGCACCCTGTGAGGAACATAAGCCAGTCCAAGAGATGGTTGGACCGGCTTTAGTGACACAGGGCAGATGCTCAGGGAGGCAGCAGAGGGTTGATTGGCTTTTTAAAGGCTCCAGGAAACAGCAGCGTTTTGGTTATGGTTTTTTTTTTTTTTTTACATAAGTAGATCTCTACTGTTTTTAACCTAATATAACCTAATCTTTCCGTCCAAGATCTGTACCAACACCACAGAGATAACTTCCAGGTACTGCTTGTTGTTGGCTTCACTACGAGGACAAAGATGCACTCGTGAAATGCGATTATTTAATTGAAATTGTGTAAACGAGTAGGTTTGTGCATCTCTACAGTGCACTGTGTGTTTTCATAAAAGCAGAAACAAAAAATGAGCTCACGTTGTTAAGCAGAGCATTTTCTGAACTGTAGACGGTGCTTCTTTTTTTGTGGTCTGAGGCCTTGAGCTCTGCTTTCTCTTTACTGGGAGACCTGGGTGAAGATTTGTGAAGTTCTGCTGGACTGTCAGAATGCTCACGTTTCCTCAGAGGACACTACCTTGTGGGCAGATCTGGTTGACTCTTGGCTTGTTCTACTTTATTGGTGTAATATGAGATTATGTAGTTTGTCTTAAAAGTTTTAAGGCTTCTCAGGTTGGTTTGTTTTTTTCAGACCAGCTAAAAACTTTGAAGGCTACAAAAAAATTATTTTTGTATGTTTCACAACTTCTATGATCCAAGTTTATTCTGTTGTGGATTTGACGGTGGTTAAATTATGACCTAAAAAAATGCCTGATAGGAGAGAAAGGAAATGTGAGAGTATTGGATGTTTTTATCCATCGGTTGTGCCATTTATTTCAGTAGTTGTAAATTACAAGAAAGATGATTTCTAATGTTGTATTGTATTTAAAATGCCAGGTTAATGTTTTTTAAAAAACAGCAGTGCTTTCTTCGGGCGCAGGAGAACCAACTCTGTACAAAGTGTACATTTGAAAAATGGACTTAAACAAATAAATAAATGCGAAGAGTGACATTTGCTTTCCCTGCACACGCCTGTGTTTAAATGTGCCATATCATGTTCTGTCCAGAGTAGTGATTTTTTTTCTTGGGCAAAATTGAGTTTATGTACATAATGGTCATTTTGTTAGGCACACCTTTTTTTTCTTTTTCTTTTGCTTGTAACACAAATGTCTAATCAGCCAATCAGACATGTAGACGTGGTCGAGATGACCTGCCGATGTTCAAACTGAGCATTTGAACAAAAAGGTGATTTAAGTGACTCTTAAAATGACACGGTTGTTGGTGCCATAGAGTACATGTGCTGGTTTTTAGAGCACTTCTACTCTACTGGAGAATTTTACACACAAGCACTCTTTGCGACATGCTGTCTAACATTCACACTTCATTGGAAAGCAACTGATTGGCATGCAGACTGGAGCAGCCAGGGATCGAAGTTGTAATGCTGTCAAGTTGATACAGACTCCAATATCTCAGGAATGTTTCCAGGACTTTGCTGAATCTGTGCAACGGAAAATTAAGGGAGTTGTGCAGGTAAAAACGGGTCCAACCCGGCACCAGTAAGGTGTGCGTAAGGGAGTTCATCAGTGGATACGACAGCTGAGGGCCAACTGTTGTAAAGCTCCTTGTCCTCGTAGGGGCGCTGTTGTACAAGACTAACGTCAACTGTTATTCTGGAGTTAACGTTGTCTAGCACAAACATAACGAATCCCGAGAGTAACGGCATTGCCTCGTGATACACGTTAAAGTGCAGCATATAATCGTTGTTGTGGGAGTTTTTTCCAGAATAGAAAAGTCATTTTTTTTGTCAGCTTAAACTTTAAATTAAAAAAAATCGTTTTGTTGAGGCAAAATGAAACGTGAGGAAATGTGTTTGAATGAACGTAAAGTTCTAAAATCATACAAAATTAGATGCCTGAAACGCTGATTTGACTTATTATTATTATTATTATTATATTGTTGTTGATGTATTACAAATGAAGAAAAAACACTCATCTCTGACCATGACGCACACAAGTAAACTGCACGGGTGAAGGAAGTGAGATCCTCTGCGACATTCCTGTAGTTTTGTGGTGCAGTCCACAGTTCCCTGTGTCTAATATTTACTACATTGATGTGACATATAAATAACTGTTCAACTTTCTCCCCTCCATAGATGAGTAGGAGCTGGTTAAAGCTGTGATGATGACATTTTCAGTCTTCCTTCACTGAGCCTCAGGTCTGTTTTAATTGTACCATCACAGCTCAGAACGCTTCAGCACACAGAAGTTGAAGAGGGAGCGACACTTAAACGCGCAGCAGGAATTTTACCCACCTCTCGTCCTATTGTAATAACAATGCGCCTGTGCGTATTGGTCACCCGGGCAGCGGCACTTCCTAAATCTCCATGAGAAAAAAAAAAAAGAAAGCCTCCTCGCCACCACCCCACCCGAAAGCGTCCCAGAGGGGGAACACAGCAGGTTTATGGTAATAAGTCTCTGAGGAGGAGAGAGGAGGAGGAGGTGGAGGAGGAGGAGAGCCGCGGAGCCATTTTGTACTCATTTTAAACTCAGTGTGTGTTTACGCAGCCGTGACGCGCCTGGACACACTGATACTATGGATACCCAGCGTCTTTTTCCACGTTGAGAAAAACTTCACCATGCGGGAGAAAAGTAAGACGCGGTGCTGGGAGAGGGAGACTTAATGCTTTTCTTTACTTTTTTTGCGGAGGAGTTTCGGTGAAGTTGAACGGGATTCGGCAGGTTTACAAGCATGGAGCCGCCGATGTGTTGCTGGGTTTGGGTTTGGGTTCTGTTCACCGTGCCGCCGCTCGCGGGATGTTTGGAGATGCACCTTTCGGAGACTTCACAGCCCGGGAGCCTTTTGGCCAACCTGTCGCTCGGCCCTGGGTGGACTTATAAACTTGACAGGACTTTATCTCCCAACTTCATTCAGAGTTGTTTCCAAGTTGGGAGGCTCGACGGTGTTATCCGCCTGTCCCACAAAGTTCAGTGTGCGCGCACACCCAGGAATCCTGCGCCTGTTTATTTCAGAACTGTCTCCTCCGCGTCCGGAGACGTTATCCTGACGCATTTTAATGTGTTCGTTCACGGCCAGGACTGTTTTATTAAATACAAGAGAAAGAAAGCGTCAGGTGAGCCAGACATTCAAATAAAACACCTTTCAAAACTGGAGGCAACTTCCTGCTTACCTGCAGGTATTCTAATTTTGAATGTAACAAAACTTTTACCCTCTTTCACGCAAAACACTGCCTTTTTGGATACTGAGTGTGCAGGAAGAAACGTTGTCGGGGTGTTCAGGCACGGAGATTTATTCCTGGCTAGTGACTTGTGTCTTAAACACAGTGGACAGTCGGAGGAGAAGCTTCACTGCGCGCTGCACAGCTCTCCGGGCAGCGGGCTCTCTGTGCAGCTTCATTTGACGCTCGTTAAAGCGCGCAAACAACACCAAAGCCCGTCAGAAATCATCCACAGACAGTCTGTTGTGCTGATCAGAAGGGGAAAGCGGCAGGTTAATTCATCTCCCCAGTTTCAACTTCCCAACTATCAGGTGTCTGTGCGTGAGAATGAGCCCGCTGGGACGCGAGTTATCACCCTAAAAGCAAATGACCCAGATGATGGAGAAGCGGGGAGGCTGGAGTACAGCATGGAAGCCTTGTTTGATAAAAGGTCTGATGACTTTTTCTACATAGACTCACAGACTGGAAGCATAACAACTATCCAGGCTCTGGACAGAGAAGTCAAAGACACCCATGTGTTCAAAGTTACTGTGACGGACAATGGCACCCCCAAAAGATCTGCCACTTCTTACCTCACTGTCACTGTAAGTGACACCAACGACCACACCCCTGTGTTTGAGCAAAATGAATATCGAGTCAGCATCCGAGAAAACGTAGAAGTGGGCTTTGAAGTTAAGACAGTCCGGGCCACTGACGGTGATGCTCCCTCCAACGCCGACATGATCTATAAAATTGTGAATGCAGACGAAGTCAACTCTGTGTTTGAAATTGACCCCCGGAGCGGCCTGGTGAGGATCAGAGAGCGGCCTGACAGGGAGACCCGGGCCCAGTACCAACTGATCGTCGAAGCCAACGATCAGGGGAAGGAGCCAAGTCCCCGCAGTGCCACCGCCACAGTTTACATCACTGTGGAAGACGAAAATGACAACTACCCACAGTTCACTGAAAAGAGGTACGTGGTGCAGGTCCCAGAGAACGTGCCAGTCAACACCAAAGTGATCCAGGTGGAGGCGACGGACAGAGATGAGGGAAACAATGCCAAAGTTCACTACAGCATCATAAGTGGCAACGTTAAAGGGCAGTTCTACATTCACTCCCCCACTGGTGTCATTGATGTCATCAATCCTCTTGACTATGAAATGATTCGGGAGTATAATTTAAGGATTAAGGCTCAGGATGGAGGCAGGCCTCCGCTGATAAACAGCACAGGGATGGTGGTGGTGCAAGTGGTGGACGTCAATGACAACACACCCATGTTTGTCAGCACACCTTTCCAGGCTACAGTGCTGGAAAATGTGGCCGTTGGTTACTCTGTCATCCACATTCAAGCCATTGATGCCGATTCAGGGAAAAATTCTCTCCTGGAATACCGCATTACCGACACCACGCCAGGTTTTCCGTTCACCATCAACAACAGCACAGGCTGGATTACAGTAAGTGAGCCGCTCGACAGGGAGGAAATTGAATTTTACACCTTTGGCGTGGAGGCGAGAGATCACGGGACACCTGTGAGGTCCTCCTCTGCCAGTGTCAGCGTCACAGTGCTGGATGTGAACGACAACACACCCACATTCTCAGAGAAGACCTACTCACTGAAGATCAACGAAGATGCTGTGGTCGGCAGCAGTGTGCTGACAGTGACCGCTGTGGACAGGGATGTTAACAGCATGGTGACGTATCAGATCTCCAGCGGCAACACCAGGAACCGCTTTGCCATCACTAGCCAGAGTGGCGGTGGCCTCATCACCTTAGCCCTTCCCCTGGACTACAAGCTGGAACGCCAGTATGTCCTGACAGTCACCGCCAGTGATGGAACACTTTACGATACCGCCCAGGTGTTCATCAATGTCACCGATGCCAACACACACCGGCCTGTCTTCCAAAGCGCCAGCTACCACGTGTCTATCAGTGAAGACAAACCAGTGGGCAGCACTGTGATAGTGATCAGTGCGACAGATGAAGACACGGGGGAAAATGCTCGTATCACGTACGTAATGGAAGACAATGTTCCTCAGTTCGAAATTGACCCAGATACAGGTGCCATCGTAACCAAAATGGAGCTTGACTATGAGGATCAGGCCTCCTACACTTTAGCCATCACTGCCAAAGACAATGGCATCCCCCAGAAATCTGACATCACTTATGTAGAGATCATCATCAGTGATGCCAATGATAATGCTCCTCATTTTCTCAGAGACATCTACCAGGGGAGTGTTCTTGAGGATGCACCTGTCTACACTAGTGTGCTCCAGATCTCTGCTTCAGACAGAGATAGTGGATCAAACGGCAGGGTGACCTATACATTTCAAGGTGGGGATGACGGTGACGGGGATTTTCACGTAGAGCCTCACTCTGGCATCGTCAGAACCGCTCGCAAGCTGGACCGGGAAAACGTTCATGTTTATAACCTGAAGGCTTTTGCCGTGGATAAAGGTGTTCCGCCTCTGAAAGCTGCTGTTTCTATTCATATTGTAGTCCAAGACATAAATGACAATGCTCCAGTGTTTGAGAAGGATGAGCTTTTTATTGACGTGCAAGAGAACAGCCCAGTGGGATCAGTCGTGGCCCAGATCACTGCCACAGACCCCGATGATGGCACTAATGCTCAGATCATGTATCAGATCGTAGAAGGAAATATTCCAGAAGTGTTCCAGCTGGATATTTTCAATGGAGACCTCACTGCACTCACAGACTTGGATTATGAGACCAAAACTGAGTATGTCATAGTCGTTCAGGCCACATCAGCACCGCTAGTGAGCCGTGCTACTGTGCACATCCGCCTAGTAGACATGAATGACAACGAACCAGTGCTGCACAACTTTGAGATTCTCTTTAATAACTATGTCACCAACAAGTCCAACAGTTTTCCATCTGGAATAATAGGAAAGGTTCCGGCTCATGACCCGGATGTGTCGGATAAACTGCGCTACAAGTTTGAGTCTGGAAATGAGCTAAGTCTGCTGCTGTTGAATGAAGAAACTGGGGATCTGAGGTTGAGCAGGGATTTGGACAATGACAGGGCTCTGGAAGCACCCATGACTATTTCTGTTTCAGGTAAGCAGTCAACCATGTTTTTCTGAGAAAATCCCACTTTTCCTGTCAGTTTCATAAAATGCGTTAAAGATGGAAATTTCCCCCAATATGTGATTCATCACCACACTTTGGAGTCAGTGTAGAATTTTCTCATGAATAGAGACAGCTGCAGTGTTGACTGTATGATCAGTGGAGTGTTTGCTGCAGGCTCTGTGCAGCATCCGGTTGTGCTGCTTTACGTAATTGCTGATAAATGTATTGTCTGCAAGTGGTGGGTAGAGGTAATAAAAAGGTGCCGTTCACAGGGCACCCTCATAGCTCAGTGGCTCTGTTGTTGCAGTTATGTGGGTTTTGGTGAAAAAGCCGGCGCGCACACATGCATGTAGTGCAGATATATGAAGGCTGCTGATTTCCTTTTCTCACTGTTTGGAGTTTGTCCATGCTAGCACTCTTTAAAGTGCATGGGATGAATGTGCATGTTCACTGCAGGAGGGAGTGGGGGGTGGATGAAGGGTTTTTTTTGTAGTTTTTCGTGCTTTGCGCATGTTTTTCACACATCGATTTTTGAATGAAAGAGAAGTTTGGATACGTTTCTGTGGTGGGGGGTTGGATCTGAAGGCTTAGATCCAAACCCTGCTAAGTCATGTAGAAAGAATTTGCACTGAGCTTCTTTTTCTCCAAGACAGAAGCACACTTTGTTCTTTAAAGTTAAAGATTAGACAAATGCAAACATTTGGACATTCACACCCAAAGTCAGAGGATACCTTCTACAGCACAGATGAGCAGATACAGAGGTTCACACTTAGCTATTAATCAAGAAGAATAAATGTATTTCTCTAGCTCTCCTGTTACCTGTCAGTAGCTGCAAAACCTCTCCGCTGTCTCTCTCTCTTTGCCTTTCTTATTCTTTTCTCACTCTCATGCTTTCTCTGCTTGATCAACCAGAGCACTTTAAACCCCCCAAAATGGGCAAACAGCATAACACAGCTTGATCTGTTGAGCTCTCCCAGCTTTTTTTTGTTACTCTGTCATGTCTCCTAACACATGCACATGTTGGTAGAATGCAGATGAGCTGCTATGATCCAGGGTACAACAGGGGAATCTGAATTCCCAGTCCATCAGTCTAGCTTTTTGCACTATAGATCATTGTGACTGGTAAATGTATTTAAGATGAAATTACATGTGAGAAAATGTGTGTCTTTTTGTCAGTTAGCCATATTGGTCTTGCAATCTCCTCTCTGTATTCTGACAGAAACATTGGTATGATAATGCAGCTGGAATCGAGCTAGACCTCCATGTCATGGTTCACAGGGCAGTGCAAGGCTTTCACAAGAAGTCCTTTCATTGCTGGAGGACTTGTGCCTTTGTCTTTGTCTCAGACAAAAGGCTGACTGTCCTTTTCTAAGTGCTTTATTGCTGTTGTAGTCAACCTGCGGAGCATCTGAGACCCCAGCGGCTCAGCAGGTTACAGGCTGTATAGCCCTCATTCGCTGTCTCTGCTTTCATGCTTGTCATTGACAGCTGACGGGTCTTGCTGTATCCTTGACTACAGTGACCTCTTGATGGTCCCTTAAGCGGGGGGGGCAAGTCTTCTTAATTAGTTGTGGCCTTGTGCGCCCAAACACATAAATATAAGTACGCACACGTTCATGCACAATTAAACAGATGTGCACACTTACACTGAAGAGCTCCAACCCCCTGTTTTTTTTCCTTCTTTTCGTGATGTCAAGTGTTAAGCAACCATTACTGCTGATGGCTTGGCCTTTTGACCTTTGGGCTTTCTGGAGAGGAAAGCCTTTGGGGAATTTTAGGCTATCAGCAAGTTAACAAGTACTGTGAGTCAGTACACCAGCTGTGTTTCAGTCCGTCTTAAATTAGGTTCCCTCTGGCTTTTTCCCCCTCTTTGTGTAGTTATTTTTTGACCTCTTCTTTGTCGCAAATCTAAATTAGGTCCAAATTCCAGTTCAGGACCAGAACCAAATCATATTGTTATACAGTGTATACGTATGGGTCCAGTCTAATTGTTGGCAGACCTCTTTGTATCCCTTTCATCAGGCCCAGTTCATACTGGGTCTTTCTGTGGGTGTGCGTACCTTTTCCACATATCATTTGAATAGGTTGTGACTAGTTATACATCTGACAATGAGAGTGATGACACCGTATTATTTTCATTTAAACAAGCCCCATCAGCAGAACATAAGACCACTTATTGATGTATTGAAGTGAGCACTGTCTCATTTAGAGAGGGAAAGGTTGAAAGCTGTCACTCTTCTTATGCTACTAATCAAAGTTCCTCCTAAAACCTGTGTAAGTCATGCACAGGTGCTTTTCTTCTGGCAAACAGGAGGCCTGAGAATGTTTCCCGAGCTCTCTGCTGAAACACAAGAATGCTCTGATAACTCTACCGAGATACACTCACTTAACACACTTTGCTAGCCACAACACTGTTCCATCTGTCCTCCCTCAGTGTGTGTGTGTGTGTG